CTTTTGGTTGAGTTGTCCTTGGGACACAAAACGCTGAGAGCGTTTCGGTGGCACAGCGTTTTTTTTTTTTTAGTTGATACGCTATGTGCTATATACAAAACATCAGTAGAAGTGTTACTAGTATTCGATTTCCCATATAGTTTGTTTTTGAATATAAAAATGTCGATACAATGTAAAGTATTCGCTCTGGATCTTGTTTTCAATGGTTTTGTTCAGTTGTTGTACTTCTTGTCGTCTGGTTGGTCGTTGTGGTATTTGTCTCATCCCTCCTCCACTGTGATTGGACGGCTGGGTAAAAAGTGACAGTGATGAGCGCTGCATTTTACCCAAAGTTGAACATTCTTCAACTGGAAAAAAAAGCAGCTCAGCATGAAAAAGACGCTCAGTGCCTCTTCACGCTGCTGGTGTTTTAAAAAACGCGACGTTCCCATTGAAAACAATTGGAAAAATACGCTAGCCTCTGGAAAAAAAAACACTTTGGTGGTAACAGACTTAGAAACTATAGTTCTTTTAATGAATCATACAAAAAGTCTCAAACTAAAGTAACTGGTCTGACTAAGGGTGCTTTCACGCTTGGTTCAATTGAATGGTCCTTCAATGATTGAACTCACTTAAGTTCTAAAGCTTACAATCAATATGTGATGCACATACTGAACTGCAAATTGTGCATTTATATATTTATAAAATAAAAGCATAACACCGCACTAAAATCCTTAGCAAACATGGCATTGGCAACCACATTTGCATAGCGAATGACAAGTGAATCTTCATAGAATAAGATCTTGTGCATCTTCAGTAAATATTTTAGCATCCTTTTTATGTTCCATATCAAGATTTACTTTCACTTATATCAACATCAGCCAATTAAATTAACTGGTAACGAAAGGCAGAAGAAAAACAGAGAAATAGTAGGAAATCAAGGTTTTCCACCAATCCTTCTACATCCAAGAAGAACAAATCTGAAGCAGAGAGGTGAAACGCTAGATTTTAAAGGGATACTCCACCGTTTTTTCAGATTAAACTATGTTATTCCCTTAACTAAGACGAGTTGATGCATACCTCTCTCGTCTCAGTGCGTGCACTAAATCGCTCTGTCTTGCGGCGAAACTTTGTTAGCATTTAGCTTAGCCCAGTTCATTCATTAGGATCCAAGCAGAGAAGCGACCAAACACCTCCACGTTTTCCCTATTTAAATACAGTTATACGAGTAGTGTAACTCGACCAAGAATGGTGATACAAAATAAAACGTTGCGCTTTTCTAAGCGTGTAAAGTGGATAACTATAATGTATGGCGGAATACCACAGCAAGTGCTTGATTGCACTTCGACTCAGCGCAGTAATATCATCACTCGTGAAAAATCCTCTCCCCCCTCTCACTCTCCGAAGTGATGATATTACTGCGCCGAGTCGAAGTGTGGTATGGTATTCCACCATACATTATAGTTATCCACTTTACACACTTAGAAAAGCGCAACGTTTTATTTTGTGTCACCATTCTTGGTCGAGTTACACTACTCGTGTAACTATTTAAATAGGGAAAACGTGGAGGTGTTTGGTCGCTTCTCTGCTTGGATCCTAATGAATGAACTGGGCTAAGCTAAATGCTATCAAAGTTTCGCCGCAAGACAGAGCGATTTAGTGCATGCACTGAGACGAGAGAGGTATGTATCAACTCGTCTTAGTTAAGGGAATAACATAGTTTAATCTGAAAAAACGGTGGAGTATCCCTTTAAGTGTCCACACTTGGCTGGCAGAGAACATTTTGCCTCGCCACACTTTCTACAGCTTGTCACTGTGAATATGCTACACAACAAGCTGACATTAAGAGGGAAGGCAAGGGAGGGTAAGTGCTTGCTCATGAGGTCGCCCTTCTTTTTATGGTAAGAATAGCCTTTGCTGTTCAGCAATACACAGAAGCAGGTGCACAAACTCACACATGCAGGCCAATGTTTGCCTATACACACAAGTGTCCGAGTACACAATCAGATGTGTGAGCCCGCATACACACAAACGAGCACAAACCAAGAAGGAAGCTGAAAAAGACACCCAAAATTGATTCCCTCTACAGGCCTGTTTCAAAGTGGCAAATTGCTCCTTTCTGAAGTCCAATATCATAGATTCATCAATTTTGAATGAAATGCATGAGACCAACATTGCTCGAGCCAACCAATCTAACACACACAGAGAAATAAGAGCACATCCAGCTGAATCCTGGTCACTGCGCCTCTCATCTCAGGCCAAGAATGAATCTCACCGCACATCAACACGTCACCGAACACCCCCACATAAACTCTCCCCAGGTCTTGATGTCTGTGTTGGCATGTCTGTTTGCAAACACATTTATTGGGTCTTTTTAGACGATCCCCTGTTGATTATGTGAAACTAATGAGCCAAATCTCAAAGCCATGTCCTGATCCCCACAGTGCCGGAGAGGGAGGAGACCTATCCTGAAAGTGTGTGTTGTCCTCCCCCCACCATGATTCGTAAAGGCCAGCTCAGAGACATTAATGAGTTAGAACAGCAAAAACGGCTATGCGGTCCAATGCGTCAGGAAGAAACTCTGCATGTTAATCAGAATTGTAAATTAATGTCAAAGAAGTACAAAGACATCACCATAAAACACATCCATGGGACATTCATGTTAATATCCTTATCTAATTAGGCTGACTTCATACTAACTCGCCAGAGAGGTGAAGGTAAATGTGGGAGTAATAACTGATTCGTTTGTTTATCTTGGCAGCACGTTGCTTGCAAACCAACACAATTAACGCGACAGCCCTTGGGGGACATGACTACTATACATGTACGAGTAGTTAACAGTGCAACGACAACGACGTGCCACTGACAGCTAACGACACGCCACACATCCAAGGACATGATGGATAGATGGATGTATAGATATCCGTCTGTCCGTCTATCTATCTATCTATCTGACAGACAGACAGATCGACAAATACACAGATAGATATCTGTCTGTCATCTAAGATAGATAGATAGATAGATAGATAGATAGATAGATAGATAGATAGATAGATAGATAGATAGATAGATAGATAGATAGATAGATAGGCATCAAAGCATTTTTCAATCCCATAAAAACTAACATTTCACTTGACACAAATATGCTGTTATTCTGATCGAAGTTTGAAATATGATTCATCTGAAAGCTATGACTAGCATATTGCACCATCAAGATCAAATTTATAGTTTTCTAGCTTGCATTCAAAGACACCCGTTCAGATTTGTTTACACTATATTTCCCGCCCGTTCAAAACGAACAGCTTGGGCACGAGCCTGAGCAGGTGTTTCTAAAACACTCAGACTAAATCTAGCCCTTACATATGAAACCCAGCCTAACAGATATCTGGCACGGCAACGCGTCCTATTACAACGGGGCATCGAAAAGCCACACACACACATGCAAACCCTCGCTTATCTCAAACTACAGCTGAGAAAGCAAAGCGCAGGGCCTCCAGAAACCCCCATTCTCCTCTCATTCTCTCTCGTCTCTGGTATGAAAGGCATGTAGTAATTATGGAGGCTGAAAGCTGACTAATACACTGTGTGCATCTGCATCTATGAATGTGAGTGGCTACTGAGTTCTTAGTCAATGTTTAAACCAAGTAGCAAACCAAACCAACCAAGGTGCTGCATAAAGGTATGGACACACAACAAACTTTGGTTACCAGTTGTAATTTGTTCTACTTTAATTTCACAACGTGAAACTTTAACTGGACTTTTTTTTTTTAAGAGCATGCTGGTGAAGTTAAGCCATCGGAAGGAGAAGGCTGTGGGTTTTATCTCAAACCAGCAAAAAAAGGTTTGAGGTCTGCTATTGTTCCTGCAGTTACTGCTGGCACAGCAAAACAGAACACAAAGAGAATCTCTATAAAATCAAAATGAAAGACGCACTTCACTGGTTTCCTTAAGGCAAGAAAATGTCATTCATCAATCCAGGCTGGTGGATAAAACAGCTACATCCTTTACTGTGACAATGATATTCTATATTGTCAAACCGTATCAAACCCCAGACCCCATTTGATGTCATCTCCTGCTTTGGTCTGGGTTTTATATCAAAAGCTTTTTCACTGACATAAATAATCTGGGTTTACCTTGATCAGAGCGTGAAACCTCCATTGTGCATCTGGACACAGGGGATGGTATCCTAACTTTGAAACATGATGGGTCAACAGCACTTTTGTATTAAATTATTTTTTTAACTTGTTCAAATATTTGATTTGCATGAAAAAAGTAAACAATTACCTAACACCAAGATGAACAAGAAAGAAGCATAGAATTAATGTTCCAAAGGACTTTATTGGCTGAGTGCAAAGTTCTTGTTTTTTCCCCTCATTTAGCAAGGAAGTAAGAGGTCATTTAGCAAATGCTTTTATCCAAAGTGACGTATAGTACATTTACTACAGGTAATGTCCCCTTAGAATAACCTTCTAAGCGGTTAAGTGCCCTGCTCAAGGACACTTGGTGAAAGCTCATGGTTCACTCCACATAGGGTTCAAGCCAACAAATTTCTGCACACCAATCCTAAACATTAGCTACTTCACCATACCAGCTCCTAGAATCATGTTTCCCAACCTCTTTTGTCTTGCGTATCCCTACAGCCTAGACAACTAGAAATGTCAAGTACACCATGGGAAAGACCCCAGATTTTTTAATTAATATTTTAGATTTCTTTTCTTTTTTGGCGGGGGTGGTAACTTTAATAAAGGTACTTAGGTATTAGGTACTTTAATAAATGTAAAAATGTAAAATGTAATACAAATCAATTTCTGTTTTAAACAGCTACATTTAAATCTTCTCAAGTACACCATTGGAATCAGCTTGAAGACCCCCTAAAGACCCCATATTTGAAATAACTGCCCTGAATGAATTACAATAGTCTGCCTAGGAGTGTATGGAGAGAGAATGTGATAATAGATCACAGAACAGACACCAGATGAGAACAAAATCGGTTTCGTCTGAAAGGGAAGAGATTTTCTTACCTGGCTCCAGTTTAATGACCTTGATAGCAGCCAGCTCTCCTGTAGTGACATTACGAGCCTGAAAGAGAACAACAACAGCACTTATTCAACAGACGTCTCGATGTTAATAACTATTATTAAGCCTGAAAGACTTCAGATGTGATCAGAGCAATCAGCAGGCCCTGATTTTGCAGACTTCTTTTAGCATTTTTGGGGGGAAATCTTTTTTAAACATTTGAAAAATGAGTAGAATACTCTTATTGGTGGCTAAAAGCATCATGAAATTATGATTAGCATGTGGTTCTGCAAATCAGGTATTGGGTAAGAATTAGCTTAAAGCCTTACATTAACATTGATATCCAATAGTTTAACTGTCAATAATACCTGTAACTAAATTGCAGGTTTAAATAGGGCAAACAACATGCAATCAAATGGATACATACCGCATTAGCATTGTGTCAATATGGACTGTGCATACTTATGCATTTTCTTGCTGTTTTGAACCGACCGCTGATCAGCGCTCGTAGAGCAGAATGTTAATTTATCCGCCTGCCGCAAATCTGTAAAGTCACATGGGCAGAGGCTCATGTATTTCATGATTCGAGAGAGAGTTTCATCACCTTTAAAAACTAAATACAAACAACGACTGCTTTACTGATCAAGAGAGGGGAAATATGACATCCTCAATATCCACACCGATGGAGAGACTCATTTTGGCTACAAAGAAAAATTGTTGTTCAGTCCATCATGACATTATTTAATCACGATGTGGCAGCAGGAAAAACATTAGACAAAATTAGCCCGGATTCAATTAAGATGTCATCATCGAAGTGGTCAAAGTATTTCTTTTTCCCTCTCTTAGCAACAGCGTGAGATCTGACAGCTAGGCGTTGGCAGCAGTGAAAACAGAGGGTGGGGGGCTGAGCCGAGTATTACCGGGCAGAACACGGCTGACGATGTCCCATAGTAACAATACAGTAAGGAAGTGCACCATGATAGAAAAATCTGTGTGAAAAAAGCATCAGGAATGACAAAATGTCAAATTAAAGAGTCTACATTTTCACTGACAGTTTGTTTGGACTGCAGGGAGTAGAAGTTTTCAACCGCTGACCATATATAAATATCCCCCAAAAAATTTTTATTACTAATTGGTATTCTAAGCATTCTGTGATTTAGCATTTTTGGGCAGTTTTCACTGTAAAACCCTTTGGAAAACATCTTTGAACAGAAAGTAGCGACAGATCTTTTCTTCCGTATTGTGAAGTACGTCGTACAAAATGAAACAAATGCATGGATGAATCGTTCACTTGAACATCAATAACATGCATTTAGAAAATAGATAGGGTGAAATTCAATTTCATGCCAACTTATTTATTCAGATGGACGTGTTTGAGGCCTTTCACACCACGGAATATGTTCTTATTAGTCATTTTATTTTCAAATAAATGTTTTTTATTTGTTTTTTATTGTCTTCTTTAAGCACTTTCCTTTCCGTCACAGCGCCAGCGGTGTGGTTTCGTTCTACCCTAAACTTAACATCCAAAGGGCTTTCACCGAGTAGCTATGGGACCTCAGTATATTTTGACAATGCTGAGAACTCTCTTCATTAGTTTACGATCGGTTTCTAATACGTTATTGTAAAGAAAAAGTAAACTATACAAAAAACTATTATAACATTTGTCGTGTTGTTGATGCCCAATATCTCTAGCTGAGCAGAAATAATCATGTTTGGCTTGGTGGTCTCTTCTAAGTCGCGTTGGATTCCCTCAACGTAAAGGTTGAGATGTGCCTGGACTTCGGCGTCGGTCCATCTATCACTGTTCTCCCTGTTCGTGGAGTTAGATTGTAGAGTAAATATGTAGGCTATAAACTGTGTGTTTACACAGCTGTGTAAAAATGGCAGGTGCCGGTGCGAATTCTTGTGAATATGTGATTTTTTTAGGGATGCACGATATTGGATTTTGGCCGATATGACGATATTTTCAAACTAATTTTGCCCGATACCGTTACCGATATATTTGTATTTTTTTAAGTGCAAAAAAAAGCTTATTAAAGCTTCTATTAAAGTTCTCAGTCAAGAGCAGTGAGTGATTTCCTCTGTGTTTTGTTGTTTTATTAACATTAAAGAGATAGTTCTCCCAAAAATTTAAATTGTCATCATTTACTCTCTCAAGTTTCTTTCTTCTGTTGAAAATAGTGCTGTGTTGAAAAAATCGATTCACCAATTCTGAATCGATTTTCATATTAATTTCTAAAGATCGATCCGTAACTCAGAGGATCGATTTTAATAGGTTTACATTTTCCCCGTGAACTTTAACTTGCCGCGACTGGGAGATCCCTGTATGCGCATTGAAAGGCTTTCACTCAGCGCGCACATTGTTACGACAACGGGCTTTGAGTGAGTCATTAAACCGTTCATTCAACGAACACGTTCAAAAAAGCTGATTCATTAAAAGAGATGTAATGAAACAAGGTGTTAATTATTTTTTAACTTTGAGTTCCACTTTTCAAGGCTCAGCTGAGCAGCAATGCGTCGCATGGGTAACGCTGAAGCTGATGCTTCACTTATTAGAGACCAATATGGCATTGATTCAATGCGTGACTCGCTGATTTTATTTCCCCGCGGCTTCCTCGCGCAGTGGGATGCTGACCAGCGCTGCTGCTGACGCGCATTTATGGTAAATACCCGTGACGTGAACGTTAAAAGGATGATACGACAAATATTTCGCTTTCCTTTGACACGGCAACCTTTTTCACAAATACATATGACTTCAAAGACAGACGCAGGTAATCGCACGCGCTCTGCCGATCTCTCTCATTCACTGTCTGTGCGAAGCCTCTGTAGGCTACACATCACCACGATAAACAGTCTTGTTTGTTATCAATATGAACTTGTTTAACATTCAATACACATGCATGAAGTTCAAAACAAGAAGGGTATAGCCTTATAAAAAACGTGAATATCGCGGTTGCTGCGGTTACTTGCAATCCTCTGCGGTTACTGCTGCTGATATACCTCTGCGTCCTCTGTCGTCTACACCAGTGCAAGTTTGTGAAAGCAGTTGTATCAACACTCTGGAAGGGGGATTGTTCTTTACAACCATCAATACTCCATTAATTTGCAGTTAAATGTCTATAATAATTGTATCAATATGTTGCATAACTACAGTCCTGTAATTCAACAGCTGGAAAAAAAATATGCTTTTTTCAAAAACACTTATCTTAATCTCGAAGATCGGATCGGATCGAATCGAATCGAATCGAATAATGATAATCGATTCAAGATCTTGAGAATCGGAATCGAATCGATTCTTGAAATTTGAATCGAAACCCAGCACTAGTTGAAAATAAAAGTTATTTGGAAGAATGTGGCTAACCAAACAGTTGCTGTACTCCAGTGACTTCCATAGTATATTTAAGCACAAGAAGGAAATGAATACAGGTTTGGAACAACATTAGAGTGAGTAAATAATGACAGATTTTTTATTTCTGGGTGCAGTATCTCTTTAAGGGCAGCATATTATTACTGTCTCTTTAAGAGCTGCACGCGACGCGTCTAATATACACACATTTGACAAGCAGATTTTCTGTTTGCTTTCACTTTAGACATAACCAACTTTGTTTATGTAAACCTTGTGTGTATTTGACAGTATCAGCGCAATAAGACTCGAAAGATTAGTCCAGTATGCAGGCGCTGTGACAGGCTTTTAGTTCCTGTGAGCGTCGGGTGTACGCGCTCAGAAAAGCGGATGTTAGAACAGCGCATCAGCACGTGAATGACATGTTTACCTAGCAAGACTTTGACGAACATGAAATAATGAACTTTTGTGAATTGCAGTGTCCTGTGAGTGTAACTCTACCTCTGCGTTTACATTAGGCCTGTAGCGGCGCGTCGATGACGTCGACGCTTCGACGTCAAAAATTCGTCGACGTCATATTTTTTTGTCGACGCTTCTTTATTTATTTATGTATTTATTTTTTTGCACCGTTCCCGGCGGTACAGCTCGCCACACACACGTGGGAGACCGAAACATTGCAGAATCGAGGACGAAACAGCAACCTCTTCACAGAATTCACAACAAAGCCATGCAAAAGTCCCAACAAAAGAAAAAGTCCTAAAAAACCCCAGCTCGCACTAAATCATCGAAGGTATGGGAATACTTCAAATTTAGTCCCAAACGTAAAGGTGTCGTTATTTGCGCTCTTTGTCAAATGGAGTTGACATCCCAAGTCTCCCGCATAGTGATAGCGGCTCCTCCCGGAATCTAGAGCTCGCGAGCTCCAAACCGTGTAGCGCGCGCAGCGAGGGAGAGAGCGAGAGACCTTGCGCGTGTGTGTGCAAATGTGCGTGTGTGCCTTATGTGCATGTAAACCCCACCCCCGTCAACAAAACCGAAAAATCAGTCCGGATGTTTTTTATGAGCACTGAAAACATTAAAATGAGCACCACATCCAAGTGTGATAGGGCTCATTTGAGTAGCCTACCAAACATTTTACCAGAGGTGGGCTGTCAGGGCCATCAGGGCCTTCTCTGCTGGCCCTGTCAAAATATAATATAATATAATATATAATTAATATATATATTTTTTTATTTTTTTTATTTTCATTTTTACGATTATATTTCCTGAAAGAATATGGTTATTTTGTTGAGGCTGAGCTGGACTTTCCATATGGTCTAGTGATGGCCGGTTCGTGAACGAGTCGTTCTTTTGAACCGGTTCTTTTTAGTGAACCGGTCGAACCAGTACACTAAATCGGACTGAATCGTTCGAAACAGTTCGCGTCTTGCGTCAGTGCTGATACACAAGTTACTAAAGTTACTCACTTTCAGACATGCCTGACAGTCCCTCTGACTCGAAATAAACCAATATCCCGGAGTATATTTCACTCCAGTAAATCCAACAGTTGTTTTTGAGAGAAGTGATGAGCACGAGCAGCTGATACTGCGCATGCGCGTACTACCGAACGCACATGTACAGCGGTTATCGGATCACCAGTACAGAACCGAGAACTGTTTCTTTCGGACACGTTCGACATAATGAGAACAACTGATCGATGAGCATGCGTGCAATTTTTTTC